TGCACACTGGGTAAGGAAAGTTGGCAACCTTGTAATTTCTGCTTCGCACTTCAGTCTGCTGACAGACACCTACTTTGCGTTCCAGGAAAGGCAGGTTTGCTGCAGCAGCCTTCGGCTGGCAAGTAACTTCTCTCACAAACCTCCTAGTTGTCCCCGCCTTGTCCCAGGGGGATGCACTGTAGCTTTAGGAGCCTTAGCAAGAGTTATTGGGAGGAAAGAATTTAAGGACAGGACTCTAAGAATCAAGTGAAAATGTCCCTCTACTCTTGCTCCATCTGTTGGGACACTAGGGTTCAAGCTCGAAGTGCATCCCCTATCAGATCCAAGTACAAGCTCATCCTTCTTAAACAGATTTATTTAATCCAAAGGAGTAATATTTCCCTCTCCTCATATTTAATATGATGGATCATTACTAAGCTACTTGTCCTTAGTACATCACATGGTTAGGATCTAAAGACACACAGTCACATCAGGAAGGATTTTTACGATCTTATAAAAGCTTCAGAAGAAATTTCAGCTCCCAAGCAAGGCTGATACTTATAGCTACTTAACCTTTCTATAGTTATTTCAGTCTTACCTTCAGTGGGATCTGGTTAGCCCATACAGAAACAGGTGATAGAAACAGGATAGCTGAAAACAAGTAGAGCAGGAGGTATCTGTGCCCCTGACACACCTCTGTGTTTACTTAATACACAAAGGCTGTTATTGCTGCCTGTAGCAGTTTAAATACCCTTAGTTCAATCAGTGGCCCATTTTGCTGTCTGACTGCTGTTACTGTTTTTTAATTAAGACAGATTTTGCTAATGAACACCCATCAAAAAAAGCAGGCAAACACCACCTCCCACCCCTCCCAGTACACTCAGAAAACTTATTCAAAAGCAGTACGGCAAGTTTTCCCACTGCCAATACTTAAAGCAATATTAAAACGAAAACAAACAAAAAACAAACAAACAAAAAACCCCACAAAACAACAAACAAACCAGCCAAACAAAAAAATTAAAACAGGCCCCAAAATTCGGTCTAAATTCAGAATCCCAAACAGCAGGCTGATGAATGCCCTTCTCAAAGGCATTCCCAGCCACGTTTCTCCAGCTGTCAGCATTTCACGTTGTTTTTCAGGTTTACTAAAAGGCAGAGTAGCACCTTTTCCCAAACCTGAAAGGACATACTAATGCTATTGAACAGGAGTAATCTTATTACTGTTTTGTAAATCTCAGACACAAATGAGTGGTTATGGGCTTAATAACACATACACATGCTCAGGCAGAATTGAGGAAGACCAACAACATCAGTTTTCTTTGAGTGGCCACTGGACAAATTCAATGTTTACTTTTGTGATAAGGCTGCACTATGCCTTCTAAACAAGATCAGTAGGATGATATATGTGTGCATTTAAAGACAAGGAAGTACTTATATTCTGGTCACCCTAACATGCCCTATCTGGAAGGGAAGGAAAAGAAATTTGCAGAAGTGGCTGATTCCCTAAAAATAATAATGTTCATGTATCCAAGAGAACAGGCAGGCTATCTTAGGTGAACAGCAACTTCCTTTGTTTGCAGAGCTCTTGTTCAGCAACCGCAAATAATAATAAATAAATAGCAAAGATAAAGTACAAGATGTCTTTTTCACCAGTCTTTAATTCAGGACGGTATAATGCAATTGAAGTTTCGAGTCTTTCCAAAGTTTTCCAACAACAGCTGCATACTGAAAAGGTAATAGAAAAAGACAACACTTACAACTGCATCAAGAACAACTCCCAGGGAATTTGAGTTATCTTAGATAACTCAAAGATAGATTCAGCTTAGTCCTTCAAGTGGGGCACTGAGTTGCCAGTTCCACAAAAGTAGCCTTCAAAACATCTGGACTGTAATAATTCTTTTGAAAATAGTTGCATGCTGAAAATAGTCACTGCTAAACCCATTCTATACTTGTTGAAATACAGATTTCTCTCCAGTTCAGCATGGCTGCAAGTTTGTTTTCATTCACCAAAGTGAATGAGAAGAGAGCTCCAAGTCTTCCATGCTTTATTTTGAAGTCTTATGTCAGGTATGTGGCCATAAGGAGACACCACACCACAGGACAGAGGGACTGTGCCTGCTCTGTGAGGCAGGAGCTTGGTGGACTCACGGGAATAACAGCAAAGTCCAAGTTGGAAACGCAGTGTGTAGCTATGACAGGATGCCCACAGCACCTTGGGTATTACCTGAGATTAGATCTTCCCTGCAATAAGCTCATAAAAGAGATAATTCATGCTACTAAGAGAAAGCAATACAAATACACAGAGTAGAGTACCAGGGAAGTACTCCTGCAGCTATTTTACAGAGAATTAACAGAAGCACCATACTGAATTTGCTCCAAAATTGACAAGGAAAGCCTACAGCCCAGGGGCAGAAGCCAGCTTTCCTAATTCCTAATTCAGTGCACTGTTGACAGGATTATCCTTCACACTCCTAAAAGTGCTTACTGAGGACAGAAGCCAGTGATGGCAACTGACTGAAATGAGTTCAACTGAGCAAGAGAAAATCCAGAATTAGTTCATCTTGGATGTGATAAGAGAGAGAGAGGCAGGAGTCCTTAAATGCTGTGAGCGTGTCAACTCCACATGTTTATAAAACAATCCTGTTAGTTAATGATCACCCAATAAATTTTCACGGATGTTTCCAACACTAAACTTTCTAACGGGTTGACACCAGTTAGAAGATCCCCATCGCACTTGAACAGGAAAGCCACCAAATTTTGTGACTGGCAGCACAGCCCACTGAGTGACCCTTTAACCTCAAAAGGAGGCACTTCCACAGAGGGCAGATCTTGGGCAGATCAGTATGGTTACTGCTGTCTCCCTTGGATGGACCCACACTCTGGTGTTCACAGCAGCCCATGAGGACCACCCTGGACACCTGCTGGAACAGCAGAGGCTCTTAACTCTCCACACAGGAGCAGGAGAGCATTGTGTCCAGATGGGTACCATAAAGAACAGGTTATGTCCCATTAACAGGAGACCCCAGCATAATTGTCCATCTCACATTAGTCCACAGAAAAACTCAGTGTGGGAGTCTCCAATGCCCCTGTTTTGCCATGCCAGCAGCCTGAATGAAAGCTGAGCACACCAGCTGATAATCTTAAAGCCACACAGAGGAGCATAATCACTGCACTTGGCAAGTAAGCACTTTTCTGTCACTGTGTTCTTATAAAGGGCCTCCAAATCACAGCAGCACTGCGAAAACTTACTTATTCCTACACAGCAGTTTTACAAACCTACCCATGCTATTTTCCTTACTCCACCGTCTCAAGCTGAATAATCCTTCAAAAGCCATTAATCAGCTTTCATTATCTCTAAATTGCTTTTTCTTGCTTGCAATTAAGGACTAATATCCAAAGAGTTGGAAATTTATAAGGTAATTAACCATAATGAGTAACTGTTTTAAAGTATGATCAACTACTGGATATCAACAGATGTCTTAGTTTTTGCCAATAAACTTTTTTTCCCAGGTGTTTATACAAGCTCGAAAAAGAAGATTTGTTTAGCAGAGGTGGAACATTCACCAGATAATACTGTATCTATACCTATTCTTCCTCTAGAAAGCAACTGACTATAGACAAAAATACCTGCAAACTAGCAATTATTGTGGATTCAGGTTTTAAGGTGACACTGACATGATGAAGGATCTATTTTTACTTGTGTAAAGTATATTTCAAGTTCAGAATAAGGAACACAGAAAGAGCACTCATGTTGTAATCAGTTCAGCATTCATAAATATCAGCACATGAAGTACATTTCCTCTCCTCGTGCTTCCATTCAGTGAGATGTTGGACAAGCAGTGCTAAAAACTTTTTTGAGTAGGTCAATAGCATATTAAGCATTGACCAGGTTAGAATATCAAACCAAATTAGTGAGCTGGGTCTAAGGTTTTAAACGGTATATAAGATTCCTTTCCAGCCACTCCAGCACACTTTCAAAATGCTTTAGTCTTGTTAATGAGACCCATTCTTCCTAAGAAAAATTATTCACTTATTTCATGTATTTCCATACATGTGGCATCCAATGCCACACAAGTGCAAGTCACTCACTACACTCCAAAATCTGTCAGAGCAAACCCTGCTTAGGGATTCATCAGGTGGATCTCACTCACTCAAGAAACAGCAGGTCAGAAGTCACAAGAGGATGAAATCTGATCCTCTTTAGAGTAGAGCTTGTACTCCACAGTAAAAGGTGGAAACTCCTAATTCAGCCGCCGTCCAGAGAGCGCTCAGAAACTCTTCTTGGTAAGAAAGTAGGGTGCTCATCCCCAGAACATAGTCTAGAACTCATTTCATCACTATTTCCCTGCTTTTTTCTTCCAGCAGAGCCAGAGGAGGCATTAGGCTGTTTCCATAGTGAGAGTTGTTAGCAGAACAACTAGCATCCGAGTATTTTGCAGTTTTCTTCAGCAGCAGCCACAGAATAGCAAAACTTGAGGAAAAGTAAAGATGTTCTCAAGACTAACTTATGTATAATATTTCAGTTAGACAATGAGTTAACAGTTTGAAGCTTTAGAATATGTTTAGCTGTTTCATTTTAGAGCTGTGGAAGAGGAAGCTCTAAAATGACGCTTTCAACCTGCAATTTTTTTCTTCTATTCGTACTGCAACGTTTCACATTTCTGTTTTCTCTTGAAAACTATGACCCAGTTTAGAAAGTCCCTGCTTATCTATACATAAGGAATGACTCACATACTGATGGGGGGGAAAAGAAGTTTACATAGAGAAAATAAGCATTATGCCTGCTGGATTAATGTTTTTGACAGTTGTTACATTGCTTAGTGGAGTGAACAGTACAAGCCTAAAAGCAGAGCATCCCACATAGTGCTAGCCAGGAAAATCTGTTTGGAGACAGAATAATTTCTAATGATAAGTCTGAAGTTCTTGTAAGGTTGGGGACCAACAGTCTTTTAAGACAAAAAAATTCAAGAGATCTTGCAGATTAAAGGATGCACTTTCTGAATGTTTTACTTTTCCAACAGGTAACTGCTACGGGTAAAGATCACCTTTAAAAGGGAACATGGATTTAATAAACTCAACTGATCAAAACAGTACATCAGAACCGTTCAAATGGGTGACATCCAAGATTCTCATTTCCATTACCCTGTCTGTGCTTGCTCTGATGACAACGGCCATCAATTCTCTCGTGATGACTGCAATTATTGTGACAAGGAAGCTCCACCACCCGGCCAACTACCTGATCTGCTCTCTTGCGGTGACTGATTTCCTTGTGGCGGTCCTGGTGATGCCCTTCAGCATTGTCTACATTGTAAAGGAGACCTGGATCATGGGGCAGGTGGTGTGTGACATTTGGCTGAGCGTGGACATCACGTGCTGCACTTGTTCCATCCTGCATCTCTCTGCCATTGCTCTGGACCGGTACAGAGCGATCACGGATGCTGTGGAATACGCACGGAAAAGGACACCTAAGCATGCTGCCATCATGATAGCAGTGGTGTGGATCATATCCATCTTTATCTCCATGCCACCCTTGTTTTGGCGGCACCAGACGGCCAGCAGGGACGACGAGTGCATCATCAAGCACGACCACATAGTCTCCACCATTTACTCCACATTTGGCGCCTTCTACATCCCTCTGGCCTTGATTCTCATCCTCTATTACAAGATATACAAGGCAGCAAAGACATTTCACAGGAGGAGCGTCAGCCGGATCGTGAGGGAGGAGGGGGTGAATGGACAAGTCCTTTTGGACGCAGGTGAAAGAAGCACCAAATCAGCTTCAATGCCCAGCACGGCAGAGAAGACATCAGATCCCCTGGTGAACTCTGATAAAATCAACATCACCCTACGAAGCCCCAGGTCTGAATCTAAGCATGAGAAGTCCTGGAAAAAACAGAGAATCTCCAGCACAAGGGAGCGAAAGGCAGCAACTACACTGGGTCTGATCCTGGGGGCGTTTGTGATCTGCTGGCTCCCTTTTTTTGTAAAGGAAGTAGTTGTTAATACCTGTGAAAGATGTCACATCTCAGAAGACATGTCTGATTTCCTAACATGGCTGGGATATATAAATTCCCTTATTAACCCTTTAATCTACACAATCTTTAATGAAGACTTCAAGAAAGCCTTCCAGAAGCTTGTGCGGTGTAGGCAATACTTTTAAGAGCTTTTGTTCGTAAAAGGAGAACATACTCATTGTTTTTTAACCTGTATAAATTTGTATAACTAAGATGACAGTTGTATTTAAGGAAAAGCACCAAGACTCTGCATTTACATTATTACTTTTTTTGTATAAGTAGTATTGGGAGCATAAATTGCCCAAGTTTTACAGAGATGGATCATCTGGGATCAGTTTTGCTCTAGAAAAAAAGAGGTAGCATATTGTGGCTCTGATCCAGTTGGGATTTGCACAGCTGCCTAACTTGAAGCATAAGATATTACCTTAAATATGAAGGAAATACACACTTGAAGTAGACAAATTTTTTTAAAAAGTAACCCTCAAGCATCAATGAAATTTTAGGTAAAACAACACACAGCTTTTAAACCCTACTAACATAGAATAGAAAATACACCGTGGAATCACAACATGATTTTATCAGTATGTCACAGACCCGCAGCATAGGGCCAAGCCATTCCCAGCAAAGGGTAGTAGCTTTAAATATATCTAGCATCATCCTCTGTTGATTAGCTGAGTGCAGCTCCAGCCCTGCCTTCTCCCACAGATCAAGGTCTTCCCAGCAGCAGGCAATGTGCTCTCTTGGGTTGCCAGGTTCACAGCAAGCCAGTGTTGTGAGCCCTCTGCCACTGCACACCCCCAGCAGACACGGGCAGAGCCCCAAGGGAAACAGCCAAATACCCAGGGCACCTCCAGTGAGATGGATACACATCTTGCCCAGTGCTCTGAGACACCACTTCCATAGGGACTGGGGAGAAAAAAAGCTCATAAAGAGCAGCTGGTCCTCCTTATGGAGATATTAGAAGGGAGAGAAGCATGAGACACTTCTTTCTTCGTGTCCTCATCCCTACCTTGCACACCTGGCCAAGCGCAGAACCTGCCACTTGCAGCACCAAACCCAAACACACCGTTTGTTCCAGGCCCCTCAGAGCACTGCTGCTGCTGGAAGGTGGCTTAGTGTGAGGTTTGCTTGAGGGCCACCTAATGGAGAACTGGGGCTGACAGCTCTGGCTCAGCAAGTTCAGCCTTCCATCCTCAGAAACCCAGCGTGCCCCAAGTCTTTTCTTGACTGCCTCAAGCACCGGGGCTGTGCACCCTCTTCCCAAGCACGTGAGAAAGCACCAGGGCTCTCTGGAAAAGGCTGTGCAGCAACTTCTGCAGCCAGGGCAGATGGAGTGGCCTCAGTATGCAGGGTATACCTGGGCAAAGGATTCTGTGGGACACACACACTGGCAGGCAGCTCTAAACCCCTCTTTCCCCCAGAGCATCTAGTCCATATCCCCAGGCCCAGAATAGCTAAAAGGGCCTTGTAGGCACAGCCCTGGCCAGCTTGTCCAGCCAAAGGTAACATCCTTTCTAAGGCCTCAAAGATGGCACCTTGGCCAATTCTGCTTGGCATGCTCTAGATGCCAAGCCACAGTGCAGGTTTGCTGACAGCTAAGGGTACAAACAGAGCAGGGGGCATTTGCCTCTGCGTGCAGTTGAGTCACTAAGAGCCACACCAGAACCCAGGGACAGGTTTTGCACTTTTCAGGACAAGCAGATTCAGACTATGTCACTAAGAGCTCGGCTTTGAATTCATTGCCAGACATTCAGTGCTGCCTCACAGGAACAGGGACTTGAGGCTCCTTACATGAACTGCAAACCTGGCTGTCAGCAGCAGAAGTGTCCTACTACAATTTGGCACCTAGGCCAGCAGCTTAGGAACACCACAAAGAAACGGAGACATAGGACTGCTATGCTCACCCTTAGTTTGGGAAAGGTGTTACTGGTCTTTGCAGTTGTTCTTCCAGGAGACTTTCAGTGGTTTGCATTAAACAAGAAAACCCAGACACACACACACACAAAAAAAAGCCATCACTGTTGTTTCTCTTTCCCCTTCTCCCTCCCTTGTATTACAAACTCTGGAGTTCAATAATTTTTGTATTTTGCTCACTGGGTACCAGCTGACACAACAACTGTCAGAAGAGTTTCTTGCAAGATGACTAGGTTTGAAACTTGCAATATTGAACTAATTTGTTTCTGTCACTTGCAATTTACTGTATTCTGCTTTCACATCAGGGTCCAAATGAAATGCTATTCAGAACTACTAGAAATGGTGCATTTGCTTTAGCATTGGTTTTAACGCAGCCAGGAATCTAATGGAAAGCTCATTTATCATATTATGTAGCTCTAGCACAGCAGTGGCACAGCTAAATTTTGAGGATGCTACAGAATGGAATTGGCTCGTGCTCAGTGCAAGCTTAGCGCACTTCACTACCATTGCAGCCAGAGCACAGCCCCTGTGACCTCAGCAATGGCTGCATTATGCTGAAAGAAAAAAAAATTGCTTTAAACATCAGTTGTACTCTGTTGTCTCCAGAAAGAGCCGTGAAATCTAGCTTTCTAAAAGGATTAGCAGATTAGCAGGAGGCAGCAAAGAAAACCCCACTGAAACATTTAATATTGAAGATCTGTTTCCCATGTTTCCTGAGTACTGACTTATAATATTTTTTATTGGGGGTCATCTATTCCTCTCCCCTGCTTCTCCCTTTGTGACTGCTGGAATATGGAGTATATTGTTTATCCTCTCACACATAAGGTGTTTGACAATATCTCATGAAATCAAATTGGAAGAAAAAATACGGGGCTGCTTTTTAGGAGAAAAGATACTTAAAATACTCATTTAAATAATAATGGATAAAACTCAAAGAATGGAACCATATGTAGATAAACAGAAAATAGCTATCATTTATGCACTGTTAACAGTATTATACTCTGAACCTAATTAAGATGCTGAACGTTTCTCAAGATGCGGGGTGGTTTCTTTTGTATGGTTTTCACCCAGCTGTATCTGCTCACCCTTCAACACCCAGTGGTGGAAGAGGCAACTACAAGAAATCCAATCAAACAAGTGGGCAGTTACTCTATTAAAAGCACTTGCGGCTTGTGGACCATCATTTCTTGGTGTCTGACTGCGACTCATCACTCGCTCCCTGACAGAATCCACTGTGCCAAACACTTTCTCACACACCACCACACAGTATAATTTCATCTCTAGCATTTACCCATGCACGTGATGGATTCAGAAAAAAAAACACAAGTTCCTCTTTTAAAGTGCATAAAGGTTAAGATTTCTGCAAGATGCTTCTTCCCCTGCCTATGAAGTAAACAGGCATCCCCTGGACCTTAGCACAAGATTTAAGGAGCAAGGTTTTATGCACTGGAGCTAAGATTTTTCTGTGCCCTGGGGAGAGTTCAGTCTCAGCAAACAGAACAAAATATGCCTGGTTTCCTGTCTCTATCAGAAGACTCTGTGTGTGTTTTTCGGGGAAAGGGTTTACATCTCCTCCAGAGTTTGCACAAAGCTTCCTGGATCCCTGTCCCTGCTGCAGCTGCCCTCCCCATTGCTGTTTGCTGCCCACCCATCCACCTATCAGTTTAGATTTTTTCCAACCCCCAGAGAACTGGATTTGAAGCAGCTGACCCACCCCCACTTCAGCTTTCAGAGAAAATGATTCCTGAAGCGGCTGTGAACACGATACCCAGTTCAGGTGGATGGGTTTTGCTAACAACAAGCAGCTAGATATACCTCATTATCCCGTCCTCATTTCTGTGCCTTCCCTCCCTGCCAGATGCTTTATTGGTGTCCTTCCCTCCTGAGGATGGCATATCCCTACAAAGAGCTTGGGGGATACAAAAATACATTGTTTTAGTGATGCAGTCGCACTTGTTAACGCATGACTGTACCACCCAGGAACACCCACCTCATCCAAATGCGCTTTTGGCAGTCACTGTCTTCAGCTGGTGCCTAATTGTTCTTGCTGCTAGGGAGGTACACAGAAATAGCTGTGTGCCAAACTATTTTCTCCAGTAGTTACAAACTCAGCACATTGTTTCTAGGCGAGTACACATTACTACTTGGCCTTCGCATTCCCTTGCAGAAGGGAAACAGAAAAATCACCGCTGCAAGAAAGGGCTTTTTTGAACCTCTGCACACTAAATCACTAATCACTGCAGGAAAGTGAAAGGAAACCCTTGTAGCAGCCCTGTGGAGATTAAGCATAAACCTAACACTTGTCTCACCTAGAAACAAGGACTGCAACTCTCCAGCACCCAAACGAGCAGCAAATGGCATCTGCTGGTGGCTCTTGTATTCCTCCTGCAAAAAGTGCTGCTGCAGTACAAGGGCAGTTACCAACAACAGCTGATCCGCTAAAAATTACCAATTTTTATTATCAAAATTACTAAAAATTCCTGATACCTCCTTAAGCAAGAACTCGGCCACTCAGGAAAATTTCACAGGGGAATATTTTTTAGGCAAGGAAAAAATACTGTGTTTTATTAGTCAAACTATATTAGTACAACTATGCATTGAAAATCCTGGTTGGGGCAGTGTAAAGTCAAAGATGCTGCTCATCAGATGCTATTACATTTTGTCCACTAGTAGCTCAAATGAATTGTATCCACACTTATTTATAATACAGTGGTATAACACATATCATATGGATGATACAGGCATATATTTATTTACAATATAGTTTTGAAGGTATTCATTGCTACATACCAGATGGGTGGCATTAATAAAATAAGCCTATCTTTCAATTCTAAAGCAAGATAGCCTTCTACACATGCATGATATTTCCCCTCACTAAATTAAACCTCTTCCTCTTCTTCCTGTACATTCATTGATTTGAAACTCAGAGAAGTATTTTATGGTTTGGGTTTAAAGATGAGAAACATGTTTAACACCACAAAAAGCACTACCTGCTAAGATAATGCTAGTAGAGTGATTAATCTTCTCACTTTCAGTTTAGATCATGACTGGTAGCAGACATCTAATGCAATAGCTAGCTCTGTGCTGGCAGCACTCCAGGATGCAAAAGCTGTGGCTAATTTGTATGACAGCAAGCGTCTGCTAAGCAACTCACTCTTGGCTAAGCCTGGTTTCCCATATTTCACAGTACAGAGCTGCATAAAATAGTGCACAGCCATGAAATAAGAAATCAGCCAGTTTGCACTCCAGTCGTTCCTAGTCTGGCAGTCACTAGAAGACAGTTGCTCCACAAACACACACCAAGAATCAGGAGGAGCAAAGCTGTGCCTTTATCCGCAGCAAAAATAGTCAAAACATTTCACATCCATCTATTACTTTGGAGGTAACCAGGAGACTGCCTGAAATGACTGATGACCAGGTGGGCTCAAGGCAGAGCAGCAGTGCTCCCCCAGCAGATGCAAAAAGAGATCCCTTCAAAGAAAATGCCACCAGCATCAGGTTTGGTCAGTACTGACAAAACAAGGGGCAGTTCAGCATCTGGCCCCTGTTCCCTGCCAGGGGGAGTTTAAACAGATATTAACATTCCCTTATTATCAGCTCCTGCAGCTTACTCTCTATCCTAACTGAGATGGGCTCTTTCAGTGCCTCTAGTATATTTAGCAAATCAGTGTTGAACTACTTCAACAGTTCTATGCTGGTCAGTAAAGGGCTTGCATTCCCCGTCTTCATAAAGTTGATATCTTGAAGCTTGAGGGGATCAATCAGCTTGGGTATATGGAATTTAAGATGATAAAAATTC